TTTCCCCAGTGCTGATGACAGTAAGAAACCAACCATCATCAAGGTGTGACTGAGAAGATGGAGGAAGAGTCATCATTTCTTTTTCCTCTTCACTGATGCTGCTCAAGATTGGTGGAGAGATGATAAGAAAGGGATTAAGGCTATGCCAAAATGGCTTTTACCTATATGAAAGTTGTCAGGCAACTGTCCATATGGAGTCAGAAACTCTGACCTGAACTTGTAGTTATATATCAATAAATATGTTTTATATTTATATATATACAGAAAACTAGGTAGTCTGGCAAACAGGAGATCATGAGGTAAATCACAGAACACACAGGGCACACCGAAGAAAAAGGCGGGAAAAAAAGGAAACTCCCCCTCCCCCTCCCCCTCCACACCCACCGCAACCAATCACAGCACAAGATTGCCTCATGCAAGAGCCAGCACTCATCAACTGATCAGCTATAACTCCGTGTTCTGGCCCCCCCGGCACAAGCCCACACCTCCCGCTTTTAAATTTTAATATCTTAACAAACATTAATAATAATAATAATAATAATAATAATAATAATAATAATAATAATAATAATAATAATAATAATAATAATAATAATAATAATAATAATAGTAAAGTTGGAAGGGACCTTGGAGGTCATCGAGTCCAAGCCCCTGCTCAGCAGGTAAACCTATACCATTTCAGACAAATGGCTGTCCAGTCTCTTCTTAAAAACTTCCAGTGTTGGAGCATTCACTGCTTCTGGAGGCAGGTTGTTCCACTGGTTAATTGTTCTAACTGTCAGGAAGTTTCTCCTTAGTTCTAGGTTGCTTCTCTCCTTGATTAGTTTCCACCTGTTGCTTCTTGTCCTGCCTTCAGGCGCTTTGGAGAATAGCTTGACTCCCTCTTCTTTGGGGCAGCCCCTGAGATACTGGAAGACTGCTATCATGTCCCCCCTCGTCCTTCTCTTCGTTAAACTAGACATACCCAATTCCAGCAACTGTTCCTTATGTTTTAGCCTCCAGTCCCCTAATCATCTTTGTTGCTCTTCTCTGTACTCTTTCTAGAGTCTCAACATCTTTTTTACATCGTGGTGACCAAAACTGGATGCAGTATTCCAACTTCCAGTCCAGCAAGCCACGTGGCCTCCTGAGGAAAACGTTCTTCATCCACGTGGTAAGGGTAAGGATGGCCAGTCAGCTTCCATTGAGAGGAGGAAGTACAGCATAGCAACTGAGATGTTGAGTTTCGATTGGGGTGATCCAACTCTCAGCTTATCCTCAACCGTGGATCACTGTTAGCTGGTTGCTCTCTTAGTCCAACCTATCTCAAATGGTAGTTATTGCAGAGATCTAAAGTGAGAAGGACCAGCCTCCTCCTGTGCTCTGACTTGAGCTACAAGAGAAAAGGAATAATAAATGAATCATCTCAGATCGATGGGATCAGCCCACCCCACCCGTGGATGCAGAGAGGGCATGCTGCCCACCTCCATCAATCAAGGAATTTTGGCTGATGCTGTCTAGGAGAAGAGCCTTTTCTGTCCTGCCGTTCCTGCCCTTTGGGATGTTCTCCCACCAGAGGTGAGATGATGATGATGACGATAATAATGATAATGATAATGATGGTAATAATAATAATAATGATGATGGTGATGATGATGATGATGAGGATGATGATGATGATGATGATGATGATAATAATAATAATAATAATAATAATAATAATAATAATAATAATAATAATAATAATAATAATTGGAAGGGTCCTTGGAGGTCATCTAGTCCAACCCCCTTCTGAGGCAGGAAACCCTATACCATTTCAGACAAATGGTTGTCCTGTCTCCTTAGTGTCCCTAATAAAGTCAGCAAGGGCACTGTATCTGTTATGCAGGGACACAGCGAACGTTTTGTGTTTAAGGTTCACCGCTCTCACCCTGCCAGATCCCAGGGTGCTCCACACACTGCCCTTCTCCTGCAGGATCTTTGTGGTAGAAGGGGCTGATAGCGCAGCAGCTCAAAAGAGCAGAAGGGCTGAACTGGACACCTAATTTCTGCCTGAAGAGCAGAGATTACAGACCCTAGATAAGTAATTTGTCCTTGTAGGCTAGTGATTTGTTTACAGACAGGACAGTATCCAAGTTTGAAAAGAGTACTGCAAAAGACAGCTGCAAAACAAGTGTTGCACTGAACTAAGCCAGACATTCTGAATTAAAACGAAATCACAATTTCAGACGCACTTGCCCTGAGTACTACTACTGCTGTTTTAGATTTTTAGTTATGATTCGCGTGCCTTTCTCCTCTGCATTCCCTCTTATAACTCACAGCTTGCAGATCTCTCCCTTCCTTTTTGGC